TGTAAGAAAAAATATTTATTTACTTTAAAAAATAAAAAATAATGATTAATTTAAGATAAATTTAAAATTAACATATTATAATTATTTTGAAACAAATTTAATATATATTAATATTAAAGTGTAATAAATATATTTTTTAATCATAAATTTCTATTATTTTTATATCATAATAGAAAATTTTTTAAAATTATTAATTTTAAATAAAACTTATTTGTGAAGACAGAGCAATTTTAGACCTTGTTAATATTCACTTTAATTCTTTAATCTTTGAAATGAAAGCAACTCTTCTTCAAATAAAAGTAATTTGAAGTTAAATTAACTCCTTTTTTTTGGCAAAAAAAAAAAACAAGTAACTGTTTTTAAGAAAGAAGAAATATCAGGATATTTGTTTCAGGGGAAATGATTTAGGTATGGTGTTCACTTACAATTTTATGTCAACAATCTCACGTAGGATGGAAGAGCTCACCAATCATTTCCTTTCATTATATGCCGTAGCTACATGGGTACCGAGCCTTACAGGAAGTGATTAGTGTAACTGCAGCTCGTCAGATTGATCATTTTAGAGTCATTGCAAAGTAAAATAAATTTTCCTTTCTCTGTGTGAATTATTTAAATATTTTAATATTTTTAATAATAAATAATAAGACATTTTGATTTTACTTTCTTTTTCTTTTTTAAAATTCACTAATGTACAAAGAAAGTATAGTACCCATGTTTTTTCGAGAGAGGGAAAGGAATGGAAAAGCGGTTGAACCGGTTTCGGCGCCACCAACCACGTAAATGGCTTTGTGCTAAGGTTTCAGGTGTGGCACCCAACCTTGTGAGAAACCCGAGCACTCTATTCTCTTCTCTTCCCTTCTCCACGTGTAAATGTAATGTATTAAAAAAATTTTATATTAAATGATAAATTATATAATAAAAAATAATTATTTTTGAAAATTAAATTTAAAAATTATATATGAAAAAAATGAGCAATCAATAATGAATTTCTTTCTTTTTTTTAGTTCGAATTCTTTTAATACTACAACTGACCTTGAAATTATGTATTTAAAGAAATTTTTTTAAAAAATAATCAACCTTCATCTTTCTTTATATATCTCTAACTTATTAAATAAATTAAAAAATTTATTTTTTACATAGTTTCTCCAATAACTCCCTAATTCAGATGGATTGAAAACGTGTGAATGAAGTCTTTTTTTTTTTTTGTTAAATACCTTTTTTGGTTCCTCTGCTATAGGAAAAAGTTTCTTTTTAGTCTCTGTATCGAAAAAATCCTTTTTTTTATCTTTATTGTTCACAAATCCAGTCCCTTTTTGGTCCTCCGTTAAATTTTGGCTTACATGGCATGTTAATTAACGAAAAAAAATTTTTTTTTTTCTTTACTTAAATTACGTGTGAAATCCATTTGGCAAAACTTGATGACATGGATCTTTAATTACCAATTTACCCTCATTTTCTTCTCCTATCCTCTCCTTCCTTCAGCCCTTTTTTTTTTTCTTACCTTTAGGCGAACCCAGGAGTCTGGGTTCGTCACGATGAACCCAGCTCGTGGATTCGTTGTGAACCCAAGAGCCTAGGTTCATCATGATGAACCCAGCTCGTGGGGTCGTCGCGATGAACCCAGCTCGTGGGTTCGTCACGATGAACCTTGCTTGTGGGTTCGCAACGAACTCAGGAGCGTGGATTTGCGACGGCACTTCAAGCGCAAAAAAATGTTAGTTGATAAGATTAGATTGATTTGGTTAAATGATTCTGTGATCAATTGAGCACCAAGACTTGGGTTAATTAACTGTTTTTAACAGGTTCTTCCAAGAAGGAAGTTGCATAGGTTTGTTGGTTCGCGATGAACCCAGTTGCCTGGAGGTGATCGGTTTGATTTTCTAGTTTAGGCCATTTACATTGAGTGCTGGAATTTAAAATCCTCAATTTTCAATTTCCTGAAATTTTTGCTGCTCTTGGGTTTTCCGTTGTTGGATGTTTCTAGAGTTGTTTGTTTGAGAAGAACATGCTTTCTTATTTTTGGCAGGGATTGAGAACCCAACTCGCGCCTAGGTTCGCGACTTGGTAGAGATTGAGAACCCAGCTTGCGTCTGGGTATGTCGTGAACCCAGGCGCGAGCTGGGTTCATTGCCAACCCAATCACACGAGCTGGGTTCATTGCCAACCCAGTCGCGCAAGCTGGGTTTATCCTGGGTTCGCGATGAACCCAAGCGCCGGGTTCATCACAAACCCATGAGCTGGGTTCGCCTGAAAGTAAAAGGAAAAAAAAAAAAAAAAAAAGCTGGAGGAAGTAGGGTGACGTGGAAGGTGATGTGGAGTCCACATAAACATGTTTTACGCGTTTGTATACCACGTCAGTTGTTCTAGTTAAGTTAACATGCCACGTAAGCCAAAATTTAATGGAGAGACCAAAAAGGGGCTGGATTTGTGAACAGTAAGGATCAAAAATGAGATTTTTTTCGATACAGGAACTAAAAAATGACTTTTTCCTATAGTAAAAGGACCAAAAAAGGTATTTAATCTTTTTTTTTTATATATTAATCTTTGGATATTCAATAATCACATTGGATTTCGATTAATTTGGAATCGGATTTGAGTCGCGTTGAATCTTATTAAGGGAAAACTCTTCCAACACTTATTTTTTTATTCATAAAATTTGAACTCAAAATTTTATTCAAAAAAAATTTAGTTTCTTTCATTTAGATCAAGTCATCATTGCTAGCATACCAATGAAGTTGATCGGGGGATGGGGGAGGAGATTCCCTCCCGAAATTGTACTTTCCTTGTTACCATTTAGTTGCCACAATTTTTATGGATGAATGGGTGAATTAGGGTTTAGTTTGAAAGTGCTAAGTTTAGTTAGTTTGTATTATTATTGTAGGTTTTTTTTTTTTTTTGTCTTTTCTTATTAAAAAAATATAAAATATTAATTAAAATTACAAAAAAATATAAAATATTAATTAAAATTAATTAATTATGGTAAATTTACATTTTTATAAATAATACATTATGAGAAAAAGTGATATCTACACCAGTTTCAAAATAAATCTTAATTGTCAATTTCCATTTTGAACAATGCATTAAATATTTTTTTTCAACTTTAGCCTTTTTAGAAGTTATAATGACTCCTTTAACAAAACATATACAACTAATTGGGTCCCGACCTATTTATTAATTAAGTCCCATTAAAGATAAATATGTAATTTAAACTAATTATAGTATTTGTGTTTCTATGGTTTTTAATAATTTTTTAAATAAGTAGCTGAAAAAACTATTTTTTAATAAGCCCAATAGAAAAACAGAAAAGTAATTTTTAAGTATCTTGTATTTTTTTTTGCAGTTTTGATATTATATTTAACAATACTCTTAATGAAATTATCTTCTATATTTATTCACTAATAATAATTTAAAATTTTATATTTAAAAGGCAGAAAAAGATGCAAAAAATGCAACTTGTATTGAAAATCATATTTCTAGTAAAAAATGGAAAAAAAAAATGTATGCAGCTAAATGCACACTAGATTAAGAAAAAACAATCATTTTCACTCAATAAAGCAAAATCCAATCCTCCTCAGGTGCAATTCTATCATAGATTCAGCATTTTGTCTTTTTTTTAAACAGTATACAATTTGGAGATGAGGAAAAAGAGTTTTCAAAATGATGGTAGAGTTCAAAACACCGATCACTTTATCCAAACACTTTAAGATTTAAAGTTACCCAATCACTTTAAGCTTTGGATTCGCACCATTCAACCTAAATTCCCAATTACAGCATTTTGTCTTTTGAATATGGTTAAATGCTAAATTTGGTCTCTCAACTTTAGTGAGTTGCACATTTTTGGTCCCTCAACAATTTTTTGCACTTTTTTGATTCCTTAACTATACAAAATGCACTCCGTTAATCCTTCTGTTAATTTGAGCTGTTAACTCGACCACATGGCATTTTTTATATTTTTTTTATGACATGGCGAGCACAACTTAAAAAGATGCTTATCAGGACTTTTTTTTTTATGACATGTCATCTTCTTCACGCTAAACACCTCCAATGAATTCCAGTTGCCTGCAAACTGGTCTCTCATCTTCACCCTCTGCAACATTGATCTTAACCCATTTTTTCTTATTCTTTGAATGCTCTCTTATCTCCACTCCATCTGCAAAATTGATCTTAATCCATTTCTTCTTCTTCCGTGAATGCTCTCTCATCTCCACTCCATCTACAAAGCCGATCTTAACCCACCCATTTCTTCTTCTTCTCTTTTCTCGGGAAAACTTGAGCTACTGGATTTCATTGAAACCTCAAACCTGGCATATCTTACCAAATCAAAATAACCCTTCAATAAACAATACCAATCAAACTCTAATCAAATTTCAACAACAATACAATCAAACTTTAATCA